CGACGGAGGAGGAGGGGAGCACGACAAGGAGAGGGAGGACGGAGCAGGGGTGGTGAGGCGAGGCATGGCGGGGTGGGAGTGGGGAGGAGCGATGGGGGAAGGAGGCAGGAGGAGTGCCGACGAGGAAGACGAGGCGGAGGGGGAGAGAGGGAGCGAGCGGGGAGCGAGGACCGGGAGGGCGAGGCGGGGAGGGCGAGAGGAGGCGGGACGAGGAGCGGGGAGGCGGAGCGCCACTGCGGGAGGGGCGAGCGAGGAGCGCAGGGGGGGAGCGAGGGAACAAAGTCGCAGCAGCAAGGGGGATGCTCCCGCGCGGCGCCGGGGGGGGGCTCGCAGCAGGGAGCGCAGGGGGCAGGAGGATCGAGGACCGAGGAGGATCGAGGAGGATCGAGGAGGATCGAGGAGGATCGAGGAGGACCGAGGAGGACCGAGGAGGATCGAGGACGGAGGGGGATCGAAGGGCCTCCGAAGAGGCACCGCGCGCTCCGCGGGGCAGGGCGACCCGGGGGGCGGGGAAGGGGGCGTCCTCGGAGCCTCGCCCCACGGCTGCTGCTCCTCCAGCTCCTCGTCCTCGTCCTCCTCCTGCTCTCGCTTCGTCTCCTCCTCGCCTTTGCCTGCCTTTGTGCGTCTTAGAACTACATCGTCTCGCCGTCTCTCCGTGGCTTCATGAGCATTCCGATCTGCCCACCGCGCAGGTCGAACCCGCCTGCCCTGTGGCTGAGTTCCCCCCGGTGGCGTAGAGCCGTTCCCGCCCCTCCTCCTCGTCCTCCTCCTCCTCCTCCTCCGCCTCCTCCCCCTCCCCCTCCTCCTCCTGCCAGTCTGCAGCGGCGTGTCCGTTGGGAGGCTGAGTCTCATAGTCCCATAGCCTCCTCCTCCTTTTCTGATGCTGCATAGACTGCAACCCTGCCGCGTCGCTCAATGCGACACGCGATGCTATGTGCCTCATACTCCTTCCATTTTCTGGCGGCGCGTTCCCGGCTCGATGCTGCTGTGTAATGGAGAATGGTTTGGTGCACATACATTTGTGAGCACCGGTGGCCTTTCGCACTGTGAGGACCCTTTGAGGAGGATGAGGTCGGCGCCGGCTTCTACAAGGCCGGCGCGCGGCCATAATGCGCGCGCAGCGCTTTGTTCTGAACGCTGGGGGCTCATGGACTTAATGTGTCTGCCATCAAGCCTCGTGGCACGGGCGTACCCCGAGCCGAGTGCCCTAATGCCTCGCCCCCCCTCCCACCTCCTCTGTGAAGCCGGTGCCGTCTCTGTGCCTGCTCAGGATTCTATCTCCGAGGGTGTCGCCCATGCAATACTCCATCACCAAATACATGTTCTCTGCGTCCTCGAATGTCTCGTGGAGACGGACGATGTTGGGATGATCGGTGACCTTCAGGAATTCGATCTCCCGCAACATGGCCTGGGACAATCATGCACGAATGTTCACAACCCTGGCACCAAAAATCAACTCCCCACTGCCTCCATGGCTCTCGGCATCCCTCTGATACTACTGCTTGTCGGCGCGTCCACCTTTTCTCAGCTATGCTTAAAGCCAATTCCCCCCATCCAAATGCATCACTGTGTCTCTCTCATGTTATGTCTCTCTCTCTCTCTCTTTCTCTCTTTCTCGCTCTTGCTCATGCCCTCTCTCTCACTCTCTCGCTCACGGTCTCTCTCTCTCTCTCTCTTCCCCTCCCTCTGTCACTCACGCCCTCTAGTTACTCTTAAGCAGATCTCTCTCTCTCATCCTCTCCCTCTCTCTGCCTCTATCTCTCGCTCTCTCTCTCTCTCTCTTTCTATCGCTCTCTTTTTTTGTTCTCTCTCTCTCTCTCTCTCTCTCTCTCTCTTCTCCGTGCACACAACAATGTACACTTGTGCACATACATATATACCTGAAAATACACGCAAGCGCGCACATACGCATGCGTATAGTATACACATGTAGACATCATGCCATGCTGAAGTGGGGAATGTGACAAACTCCACGAGGCCGTAACGATTTGAACAGTGCCAGCGGAACGACATGAAGAGCTGATAATTACAAGCTAGATGCAAAACCTCGCGGTGAGGCTAACAACTTGAGGGGAAACCGAATCGAACGCGAAGTATACATGTACGGCTATAGGTTTGGTTCACGCCGACGCGAAAACGATCACGAGACAACCCCTGCCAACATACCCCTCCTTGGGAGATCCTGCTCCCCACCCACATTGAATGCCGCCAACGAAATCTAGAGGCACCCCAGATAAACCCAGACAAGATGGGCTGGGACTGGCAAGTACAGAGCTGGAATTCAAGCAAAAGATGAGTGGCGAAAACGCAAGCAAAAGCCAAGGCGACAACTCAAGGACGCAGGATATAAGGATGACGAATCTACGAATCCGCCACGAACGCCGAAGTGAAAGGACCAGAGAACTCTGCAGTGAACGCCAAACTCGGAATAATCTCTCTGCGTGCGAGTTCGAGGCAAAAATGCAAAACCCTTGCAATGGAACAGTTGGGGATAAAGTCGTGCATCATCTAAAGATACATCTAAAGCTACAGCTACGACGGAAGAACATACTCGATCAACAATAAAGAGTAAAGACGGGAGCGAAAGGCGACGTGATAGCGGCATGCCAAACGCCACACATCGCGGTGACACTAAACGCTAAAGGAACAGCTAAAGCGCACGCTAGCGGTACGTATACGGCGCGATGTTTAGCTCAAGCTCAGACCGCAAACCGAAGCTCACATCGACACGCACTTGAAAACTACATCAACTTTTGAAACAAACCGGGGCAACAGAGAACCGAATGCCAAATACGACGCTCCAGAATGTATCATGTGCAACTTGCAGCCAAGCTGGAGGCAACACGAAAACTACACTTCTGCAAACATAAGAAGCGGAGTCTGAAGCAAGAGCGACAAGCACTTGCCATACTACAGCCGAGAATCGAACACAACCTCAAGTTGGAACTCAAGCTCAATTCCAGCCCCAGACCAGCAGGAGCCACACACGAGACAGCATTTGCTGGAGCATGACTAATGCAACATGCGACAAGCCAAACTGGCGCTCCAGCTACATCTACATACGAACGCGCAGATTGCAAACAGGAGACAGGTCAACAAGCCAGCCGTGATGATAGGTTAAAGCTGACGCTGGATCTACCACGTGCACGCGGAGGATAAGACCAAGACGCGTGAAAGCTGGACGTGTAAAACATGGCCTTGCACAGCACGAGCGCGAGTTGTGAAACCGTGCGCGAAGCGCCCGCCCGCGGATGTGGAGACCGACCTGGCACACCACCGCTCCCTTCGGCAGCGGGCCGGTCGCACTGGTGTGTGTGTGTGTGCTTGTGTCGGGGAGACGTAAGACCCGGGTACGGGGGACTCGGAAATCCCCGACGAGGTCGTCAAAAAAATGACGGGGCCGAGCCTGCATTTTGACGAGGCCTCCCGCTGCAGACATCCCACGAAGCTCCTCCTCGTCAAAATCCGAGTCGCGGTCGTCAAAAAACGATGGCGAACCCGAGTCCCGGCAAACCCGGGTCTTACGCTCCCCCGATTGTGCAGCGTCTCGCGGCTGCGGCCCTGGCGCCACGCTGTGCCCTCCCAGCCGGCAGCGCGTCGCTCCGCGCCGCGGGGCGGGAAGCTGGACAGCACTCGGGACGTGCAGCGCTCGGGGGCGGGGAAGTGGTGCGCCTGCCGCGCCGCAGCGCGGCGGGCCCGAGCCGGCGGCGCGACGCGCCCAGCCGCAGTTTCCCCGACGCCGTGTCGCGGGCGGGCCTGTCCGGTGCCGAGCGGGGCGGCTGCCGCTCCTGCCCGCTGAAGGGGGGGGGGGGTGCGGACACGCTGCCGGGCCTCGACCAGGAGTCTTCGACACAGCGCCGATGCGTCGGCGAGAGGCCCCCGATCGGATATCCACAGGATCCTGGGCCCGTGTGCTGTCGGGCCCCTGTCGGCGATGAGGGAGAGATCCGGGGGTCCATGCGTCCGCCCCTGAGTCTATCCTTAGGTCGGGCATGTCCCCCTACAGGGGGGTTTTGGAGGGGAAACTCAAAATAGTCAAACATATCCAAACATGGTCAAAAACAAGTTAAGAACAAATCGTCGCCATTTTTTTAACTGAAGGGGCCCACGAACACACAAATAAATACACACAAATGAGAGGATTCCTCATATTTTCCCATATTTTTTGGGTTTTCCTCTCCCCCCCCACTGCCCATATTTTCCCATATTTTTCTCGGGAATCGACGATTCATTGTGTCTGTGTGTTTTTTCCCCTCCTGCTTAACATTGATAAGCAAGGAATTGTCCTCCTGTCGAGGGACAGGCCCGACTGAAGCCGATCCCAGTCCCCGATGGCTTCCGGGCCCCAGCCCGGGCCTCCGGCGGCCGGTCGAGACGATACCCGTGCAGCCCAGGGCGCCCGACTCGGAGGCTCGGAGGAGGCGCGGCTGCTTGGAGAGCACGTACAGTCGGGGCCCTGACCTCAGGAGCCCAAAATAAGGAACGAGGCCCCTATTGTCCATAAGTTAAACTTCGATTTCATATCGAAAACCTAAGGGACCTAAGGAAAACCTGAGGCAAGCTGCGAAACACTTAAGGAACGCGGAGCCCCTCCCCAATGAAAAGGGCTCCTTCTTCAGGGCCCCGACTGTAGAGTGTGGGAAGCCGCGGAGGAGCCCAGGTGCTCTGGAAACCAGACAGCGCGCGTTGTGTGGCTGGGTGGTTTGTGGGCTCGCTGGCACACAACATCAGCAGGCGGCGAGCGACGGGGGGGGAAGCGAGAAGGGGCGGGCCTTCTCAGAAGGCTCAGAAGTCCCGAGACCTTCTGAAACGTTTCCCAAACCTTCCCATAAGACAGAGAAGACTTCCCAGAAGGCGCGAAGGCTTCTGAGAAGTCCCGCCGCCCTCTGAGAGGGCCTTTTCCTTCTCACTTCCCCCCCTCTCGCCGCCGAATAAGACAGTGGTGCCCGGGCGCTCGAATGTTTTTCTGCAGGTGCTGTCCCTGTTGCGCGTCTTGGTGCTGATGCAGCGGCTTGGAGTGCAGCTGCGATCTCCGCAAAACGCGTTGGCATCGCAATTCCCGCTCCCACAACGCGCGCTGATGCAGCATCCTGCGCATGCACCACATCGCCTGTGTACATCACACCGACTGGGTGCAATGCCCCTGTGCACCACAGCGCCTGTGTGCACAATTGCGAACGCGCGCGCCGCCACGCTTCTGCACAACACAGCTGCTGCCATAGAGGCACGCGTGCACCACAACGCCTGTGTAAAACACGATCCGCGCGCACAGCACAGCAACCGCGCGCAACGCAGCGACTGGCGCCTGCGTGCGCCACACTGTGTATGTACACAACAGAGCCCGCGTATACCTCGAGGGTCCCGGGGCCCAAAAACCGAAACTCGCGTCCGTGCGGGAGGGGGGGCGCGAACGTACAACATTGAGTATGCAACTGTGTTGTGGTTGTAACTTTTTGGACACCTGGATACCAATGTGGCAAATTCTTCGAGCGGCGCGCGGCCGCGGCGACGAAAATCCCTTCAGAAGGGGGAGGGCCAGTGGCGCCTCGAGTTCACTTGCGCCGTGGTTTCGTCCGAAATAGCCGCTGACCAAAAGGCCCCCAAGAGGGATCCGACGCGGCTCAAGACGGCCCCGGAACGGCAGAAGAAACGCCCAAGACCGCCCAAGGGGCTCCCAGAAAGGTAACCGCCAACCGACAGTTCGAGTGGTCCGCCCCAAGACGCCCCGAGGAGGCCCCCAAAGTCGCCCAAGAAGCCCTTGGAAAGGTCCAAGACAAACCCAAAATTGCGCCCAAGAGGGCACCAACAGGGTCCAGTCCCCCCTTTCCCTTCATTGCCCCCCGCATCTGCCCGTCGTCCTCCTCGCCCTCCTCGTCCTCGTCATCGTCCTGGTCCCCCTCGTCCTCGTAAACCTCCTCCTCCTCCTCCACCTCCTCCTCCTCCTCCTCCTCCTCCTCCTCCTCCTCCTCCTCCTCCCCATCCCCCCTCCTCCTAACGCCCAAGGTCGGCGGCACCAGCCGTAAATCCTTCCCAATGAACTGGTCACTATGCGGGGTCACAGGGTGGTCAGTGCGCCGAAGATGGCGCGGTGGGAGCACAGGACTTACTCAAACAAATTGCGGCGAACCGCTGTCACCAGAGTGCCGCTCGCCACGTAGCAGCCCACGAGAAAGAACAAACTCTGCGCACCCCTGTGCTTGCGTACGGATGCACCCCTGTGCCTGTGTACGCCGCCAGCATGTACATCACAGTGCCCACGTGCACCATAAAGCCCGGGTGCACCTCAAAATGCCTGACGGTGCCGAGTGCCAACAAAACATAGCCGGCCCGAACGTATCAAATCAAATCTGCAACTCGTGTGTGATTATTGTCTTTTTCTGGCCACGGGCACGGCCCGTGTCCCCGGTGCCTGCGCGCACAACAGTACCAATGTACACCACAATGCCAAGCACCACCACGGCTGCGTGCCTCATAACTGCCGCCGCAGCAGTCGTGTGCGCTATGCTCACCGAGCTGCTTGTCTCTTCCCATGTGAGTGCGCCGCCGCGCCTGTGTGGGTGCCGCAACAGCCTGCGCGTGCCACGCGCCTCTACTTCCAACAAGAACATGCCATCGGACACTGCAAACACGTTGCGCGCGCACTACGAACAGCACGCCTGTGCGCTAAGCAACAGCCGGTGCTGCAACGGGGGTGGATGGGAGAGCGGGCGTTATGTTATCTAATCGGTGGCCACATCACGCGCGAGATGTGGTCGGGTCAAAAATCTTCAGCTCGACAGACATCGAAAACGTCAGACATCGAGCGATTGGGGGTCGATGTACCTCTCCTTGGCGGAGCACACATGAAATATGGGGGGAAAGGAAAGCGCCGACCCTTCTTGGAATGCGGGTGTTTCTTCTTGAGCAGGGACCGACCGTCCCAGCATACCTATAGTCCTACCACGAAATGTTCTTAGAACCCAAACATGTTCTAAGAACAACAACAATGTTCTCAAAACATAAACCCGATGTGATACTACAAGACAGTCCCAGCCAGAAGTGTTCTAAGAACATTTCGTGGGAACCACACAAGCTTGTTAGAACATTGCTTGGTAGGACTGCAGGCGAGCCTGGAGGCTTCGCCACATCTTGATCTTCAAAAGCGCCGTCCCTACATCTCCAGACACCGCCCACGCCTTCTAAGACGCAGGCGTTGGACGCCCGAGTTATCCGGGGTAACTCGGGTCCGGGGTAACTCGGGTTTGGGTTCCCGAAAAACGAACCCGAGTTATCCCTGACCCGAGTTATCCCTGATGATTCGGGGCTCTGGACGCCCGAGTTATCCGGGGTAACTCGGGTCCGGGATAACTCGGGTTCGGATTCCCGAAAAAGGAACCCGAGTTATCCCTGACCCGAGTTACCCCTGATGATTCGGGGCTCTGAAGGCGTGCATCGAAGAAGCCTCCTCCCCTCCCAATACCCCCCCCCTTGCGCGTAGCCGGCGGCTGGGGGTCGACGCCTTTCCCCCATGAGCCTATCCCCCCCCCTTCACCGTTGCCCCTGACACGTGCTGCCGTTGCGGCTCGGTGCCGTTCTTCGCCGGGCGCACTTCCGCACCGCGCCGCCGCGCGCGCGGTCGTCCAGGGCGAAGAGTGAATGCGTGTGAGTATGTGTGTGTGGTGCTCTACCACCCGTCGCCGCGTGTGGGGCCGCGACGCCACAAAAGTGCGTGCGTGTGTGCGCGCGCGCGTTTATGTGTGTGAATATGTGTATGCGTTAAGACGAAACTAGGACGAAGATCAACTTGGGTGAGGAATCGGGAATCTCTGAGATCTGGCGGCTCTTGAGGATGTCTCGGGAGACGCGGCCTTCCCAGAGCGTTCCGGAACGCTCTGAGAGTGTTCAAGAACGACCTGGGACGGATTTACCCTCGTCCTAGCTCCATCCAATCTCTGTGCGTGGTTTATGTTTCCTCCGAGTCGGTCTACTGCCTTCGCTGTTACCGCTCCTCCTTACTTGCGTCTCGCCCTGGCTTCCAGCCATTTGGCGCAGTCCCGGGTCGCCCTCGGGCTGCGTTGCACCCGCTGCACGGTCGATGGCATGGCCGATCCCATGGGGTCCCTACCCCTCTTCTGAGGGGCCAGCCGCGCGCGCTCTCTCGCTTGGGGACTTCCTCCGCCTCGTCGCTCGCCGCGCGCGAGGCCACGATCGCCAAAAAGGGTGCTCGTGACCAATCGGGGCAAGCATTGCTTGGTCGTTACGTCCAATACGCATTCAAACCGTGACAACAGAGGCATGTGGTCCTCCTTGCCGGCTCTCCAGGGTCGACCCATTGGGTAGCTGAGCTTGGTCTGACTTCGACTGACTTGCGGCACTTGAATGGCCCCCGCCCTAGCCGCGCTCGACTCAAAAATGTGCGGGTCTGCAACCGTTCGCAGCGCACCTGTGTACAAGCACGTGCAGACATGTGATCACGTGCACACACACAGAAATACCTCGGGTAACGAGAACCCTTCGGGTGGCGGATGATGCTAGGAGTGGTGGGAAGGATGAGGAGGAGTGGGGAGGAAGAGAAGGAGGAAGGGGTGGAAGAAGGGGAGGAGAATGAGGAGGAGCGACCGACGACTGAAGCAGTGGATCGAGGAATGGTGGTTAACTCATGGACAGCAGCAGGGGGGTATCACTGATGCGGGAGGAAGCAGGGGGCAGGGAGGTAGAAGCAGAGGGGGACTGGGCTCCTGCAAGAGACTCCTCCTTTTATGGGGGCCCCTGCCCCCCCCCCCCCGCCGCGTGCGGGGCTACCCACGTGGTCACGTGAGCGACGAAAACGAGCGGGTCTTACGCGAGGTGGCGTAGCGACCTTGTGCGGCGGCCTACGCGGGCCCGCCAGCACGGCACGCCTCATTGAAGACGAGGGCGCTTAGGCATAAGGGGGGGGGCCCAAGCCCACACAAAGAGATACACACCAATCCAAAAATTCCCCACTTTTGTTTGCCATATCTCTATATTTATAATATATATATGTTTTAGAAATGTTCCAGACTTCCCCCTTGCCCCCCCCAACTCCAATGTGTTCCCATGCTTTCCTGGGAGTCGACGATGACTGTGTGTGTGTGTGCTTTCCCCTCCTGGTAAGAGTAGGCCAAGAAGGTACACATAACAACAACATAACACGTAACAACAGCACATAACACATTACACCAAGGAAACATAAGAAGACGTAACAACAATACATAAGGACCTATCATAAAACAACAACAGCAACCACAACCACAACAACAACAACACCAACAACCACACAACAACATTAACAACAACAACCACAACACCAACACTACCAACAACAACACAAACAACGATAACAGCCACAACATCAATAACAACAACAACCACATCAACAACCACAACAACACCAACAACAACAGCAATAGCAGCAACAACACATAGCACATTCCACATCACAGCAACACATAACACATCACACATCACCCATCACAGCGGCACGTAACACCTAACAGCAACAACACAGAACACATAACACATAACACAGTACACAGCACAACAGCAGCAACACATAACACATAACACATTACACATCACAGCAGCACATGACACACCAGAGAAGACGACATAACAGATGACAGCAACAGAAAACAACGGCGCGAGGAGGCCCGAGGGCCGCTCGGCCCGAGATCGGGGCACCCCCACAGAAAGACGCCCCCGACGAGGCGCAGCTGCTGGGGCGCCCCCCGAGGCCCTCGTCGGGCACGTCCACAGGAGGAGCATCCAAAGCATAGCCAAAACGCAGTTTGGGCCCGATTTGTTCTGATACTCTTCTCACTAAACTTATTAGTTTCACTGTCATTATCCTTATCATTCGTATTGGTGGCAAAAAAAAGGATTCTGGAATATGATTGCACTGTGCTGCATTTCTCTTCCTGAAGCCGCCTGTCGGAGGACATGCCCGGCCTTACCCGAGGCGAGAACACCTTCCAGAGCCGAGGACAGTTGCAGAACACCCGCTGCGACGTCGCAGGAAGCACGACGGCAACAGAAGCAGTCCGCCGGGGTGCCTTACGCGACGCGAAGGGGGCCCGACAAGACACGGCGGCAACGCAACGATCCGCCCCGGTGCCGTCCGCGACGCGAGGGGGGCCCGGAGAGGATCGGGGGCGTCTGCGCAAAGGGGGGTCCGCAACTCGTGGCCAGAGGCCCGTGCGCGGCCCAGGTGGTGCCAAGGGGAGGCGTGCAGACGAGAGGAAAGGGCCACAGCATCTCGGGAGAAAGGGCCACAGCCATGACATCCATCCCCCCCCCCTAGTCTTAAATCGGGCGTGTCCCCCTACAGGGGGACTTTCGACGAAGAATAAAAAACAGCCAACACAAAATCCAAAATGGTGAAACAATACCCCAAAAATAGTCCCCATACTATTTTAAAACTATTTTTGAATATTCCCCCTGTATAGGGACAGGCCCGACTTAACCCTAGTCTTCACTCGCCCCTCTCTCCTCGGGGAGACCTGAGGCTCGGGTGCGGGCGACTCGAGTGGGCCTCCCAGGGCCGTCGGGACAATGATGAGATCCGATCGGGAACTTCACGACAACTCCTGCCGCAAACGAAACGTATCCTACGCAAGCTGGACCGCCAGCCTCCAGGACGGGCCTGCCAAGAAACAGCGGCGCGTTCGACCTCTGGCGATCTCGGATGACCCACCCTTCCCCGGTACGATCGGCCTCAGAGCCTGGGGTTAGAAGGTCGGGCATGTCCTCCTACAGGGGGATTTTGGACGAAGAATAAGAACTACTCCAAACATGCGCCAGAAAAGCCAAAAGTAGTCAAACATTGACAATCTTTCTGACTACTTTTGAATATGCCTCCTGTAGAAGGACATGCCCGACTCAGGCCTGGGGGGTCACCTGCGCCTGGCGCTGGTCTTTGCCCCCCCCCCCCCGGCGCGCCGCCTTCGCGTCCTGGACGCGGCTCTTCGCCACGAGCTTGACGGCCACCGGCACGCCCGTCTGCCGGTGCAGGGCTCCTGGTCCAGGGGAGTGGGAGGAGGAGGAGGAGGAGGAGGAGGAGGAGGAGGAGGAGGAGGAGGAGGAGGAGGAGCGAGGAGGAGGAGGAGGAGGCGGAACGAGGCGCGAGGCGCGAAGGGTGCCCACAGAAGGGGGAGGAAAGGACGTCCATACCCACTCGCGTCACCAAAGGACTCAAAGGGGGGCCCTCGCCAGGCCCCAGGACCGCCAAAAGGCACGGCTCTGGACGAAAGGCTGGTCCCGGGGAGCAGGTCCCCTCTGGGGGTCCACGTCGTGAAAAATCATGGCGTCGGGGGTCTGGGGGCGTCGGAGGAGGGCGAAACGTGGGGAGGTAGAGGAGGGAGGGGAGGTGGAGAAATGAATCGGGAAAATGGCGGGATGAGGAAAATGGCGGGACGAGAGATGGGTGTAGGAGGAGGGGAGGGGGGGGAGGGAGGAAGGGAGGGGAGATGAGATGGAGAAGGGAGAGAACATAGAAGGAAAATCATGGGACGGAAGAAAGGAAGAGGGGCGGAGGAGATGGAGGGATGGGGGAGGGTCGAGGAGCGACAGGAAGAGGGAGACGGGGACGAGGCAGGAAAGGAGGAGGAGGAGGGGGAGGAAAACGAGCAGGAGAAAGAGCAGGACTAGAAAGGATAACGAACATGGGCAGGAGAAAGATCAAGAGGAGGGTGGGTCAACGTGTAGGAAGTGGAGAAGGACAGAGGGAGCGGCAGAGGTGAAGCAGGACGGAGCGGATGCACGTGACAGGCAGGATTGATTGTCGAGGTTGGGAAGCCGTTCGAGAATTCGATGCTCGAGAATTTGACGAAAGGCAAGCGCAATCAACAGAGGACTTGAATGTTTCCCAGGATGGGAGTCAATGAGAGAACAGCCAATTAGGGCTTGGCCGCAACCGAAAACTGACAAAACAACGATGTGGAAACAAAGCTGGCGAACTGAATAATCCGCTAGCCGGCTAAACCTGCCGAACTCACCTCAACAAGATAATCGCAACACCAACGTTCTTGACCAAACCGGGATGACTCGGAATCGATGACAACATAAGAAATATGCTCATTCAAGCACGCTCGTTGCCGCAGATCCTCGGATAGCAGCCATGCCGCCATCTTTCTGTTTCCCAGTAAGCTTGTACACCTTGCAAGAGAAAGGCAAATCAAAACCGACAGAACCTACCCAGGACTCGAACATCCTACCACACACGAGTTACACGCAGAGAAACAATGCAAACTCATGCATCGAAGGCCTGCCGTGCGCAAGTTGAAACCCGTCACCGCTTGCAAGCTCAATCGCACGAGGAGACACAACCTCGGTGCTGCTGAAAGCTTCATGATTGCCTTTGAACTTCAACAGGACAAACCCTCAAAAATCATTGAGAACACCATGACCCTGTATATGCGGATCAGAACACACGACTCCACAAACAATTCCTGCTTCCCAGCGGCCTGCTAATAAGATGCCGCCCGTGGGTCGGCAACATGACATTGTCAAACCGAGCTGGGCAAGGGTACGGGCTCGACAATATCAGAGCTGGGATGGTTACGTGCTCGGGACCTGCGCATGAAGAAACATCCGGCTCACACTGGCCGCTCTTCAGGAAAACGCACCGGTCACTGCACCGACCTTGCAGACGTGGTGCAGCGGTTTTTTTTCGTGGACCTCTGCCAATGCAAAGACCCGAAATGGCGAGTGAAGAACGAACTGAGTTTCGCGTGGATGATTTATGTCCGTATGCAATTCATGTCGACATCCGGAACGAAATTCTCAAGGACACTGCAGGTCCATGCTATCTTTTCCAAACAACATCCGCTCTGCGATGTTGGCGCCACGACAAGGGGCTCCATATCCACTGGGCGACAAAGATACCATCATGCGCGCATGCCACTTCATACCTCCTGCCCGGGTGCCAGGCCATCTGGGCGGTCTCGGAAACCCTGACCCCAAAAACCTTTTTTTCATCTCTTAGGGGCACATGGCTTACTTCCGCCGAGCTTCCGCCGGCGGATGCGGCCTCGTTTTACTTCCGCCGACCTTCCGCTGCCTTCCACCGAGGCAGAGATGGCAACTCCTTCCATCCTCGAAAGTTAGGCCCTTTCTGGAACGTCCCATCTGAGCATGGACGCGCCAATCTCCAAAAGACCGGCCAGGTCCACTTTGCCTGCTCGCTCCCAGCTTTGCCGCAACTCCTGGACCACAGGAGACCCTGTATGCAGAGATGATGCGTGCTAGCGTTGGGTCGGGCACGTCCTCCTACCGGCGGACTTTGGAAGACAAACGGCACATGGTCAAACATAGTCGAAACATCGTCCCGAGACTGTGTTCTGACTATTTTTGAACACTCCTCCTGTAGAAGGACATGCCCGGCTTACCGCTAGCGTGCCACTGACACCGCGGGCGCAATGCACTCAAAACCCATGACCCCACCTCCGTTGGGACGTGCTGATGAGATTCGGTGCGGCGTCGCTCCAATGGCAACGCCGGCTGCAGTGCTGGGTTACGGCTCTGTCCCAAAGCCTCTGATCTTCCTCGCCTCTGATTACAGGAGGAGGAGGAGGAGGAGGAGGAGGAGGAGGAGGAGGAGGAGGAGGAGGAGGAGGGAGGATGAGGAGGAGGAGGGAGAAGGAGGAGGGAGGAGGAGGGGGGGAGGGGAGGAGGGGAGGAGGAGGGGGGGAGGAGGAGGAGGGGGAGGAGGAGGGGGAGGAGGAGGAGGAGGAGGAGGAGGAGGAGGAGCCTCCACATCCCTGTGCTCCTCCGCCTCCATCGCCGCTCTGCGGGCAGACCCGCGCAACACCCGCAAGATCAGGCCTCGCGCCCCGTGGACGCTCCCCCCCCTCCCCGCACGGGGCCTTGTGGAAGTCCCTCCCCCTGGTGTCCCCGACGAAGTTCCGGCGGGCGAAGCCGCCGTCCCCTTCCCTCCCGCTGCTTCTGTTCGTCGCGGGGACGCACGGACTAGCGCCTTGCCCCACTTCCGGGCCCTGATCCACCCCCTGCCACTGCAGGGGGCACACACTCTCTCTGCCCAGCCATCACCAACTTCCCTCCAAGTAGGCTTCCTGGGGAAGGGTGCTGAGAGCGAAAGAGAGAGAGATAGAGAGAATCAGAAAAGAGAAAAGAGAGAAAGACAGACAAACAGACAGGGGGGACGGAGAGAGAGATGCTAATCACACCGACACACACACACACACGCGCATACATCGATACATGCGCAGCGCTTGAAAAGAGAAACATCGAGAGCGAGAGGGGGCAGCTTGTACGAAAATGGTGGCGAGAAGCGTTGGCAGCGTGCAGCATGCCATTCGAGCAGAAAAATATGCAGTCCCGTCCTCACCGTGCATTGATATGTGACACGACGGCAGAGGGGGCATCATATTACCCCATGTGTGCACAGGCCCACCCGCCCTCTCGGGAACAAGCAAGGCAGTGTGCACGTGGCGGCAACTTCCCCTGACCCAATGGGGTATCCCCAGCGTGTGAGATGTTGACACCTCCCCGATCCCTCCACCCAAATCAGGGGCGCGAAAACATGGATTAGCGATCCATGGATTTTGCGCGCGGTCGCCAAATCCATGGATCGGGAGAGGTGCCCTCCCCAAAATGCGGCCGATGCCGCCTCGCTCGGCGGCGGAAATCAGCGATTTCCCATGGAAACTGGACCCGTCGCTAATCCACGCCCCCTTGATCCATGTTTGCGATTGCCTGAACAGACCCCGGCCCGGTCAAATTGGAGGGAAGGGATGTCCGCCCGGATTCCCCGGGCCCGGCCCCACCGCATCATGGGAGGACAGAGGCCCCCATAACGAGCCCATCAGCGCCAACAGGCCTCCAAGACTGTCCAAGAGGGCCCGCAGTCGCCGATGGCTCCTCCAGGACGGTCAAATAGCCTCCAGACGGCCCAAGGCTCCTCCAGCACGCTCCAAGACGCCTTCAAGAGCCCTCTCAAGAGGGCACCACGAAGCAACAGTCCTTGAAATTCAATCCGTTTTTTGGCAAACGATGCCATTCTCGCCTCTTCGGCTCCATGACGCTCCAGAGGCCTCGCCCCTGGAGACCCTTGAGAACTCTTCCCGCAGCTCCAAGAGGACCCCGGAGGCCCCCACGAATCGCCCAAAAGGGCAGCAAAAAGTCCCCCAGTTGCGACCAAGAGACTCTCAGGAGCAACCCAACACAATCGCCAATCCCCCAAGGGTCGGCGGTGTGGCGTAAGCCCAAGAATCCGGAGTCACTTGTGTCACGGAAGCGGCGTGCTGAGCGGCAGCGTTTTCCGCGGATGCTGGTATCCACGTCAGGAGGTGACGTGCTGAGCGGCAGCGTTTTTCGGCGAACGCCTTACTGCAACGTATCAAATTTATCCAATGATTGCATACTTGCCACATGTTGTATTGTGTTACATTATGATGTCTCCCCCCCTAACCCCCCCTGGGAGCTGCGCCACACCGCCGGACCAAAGTGACGACTCCCGTCTTGGGCCCTAAAAACCTGCAGAAACCAAGGAAAATCACACATTCGGCCTCTTGGGCCTCTGGGGGCTCCTCGAGGGCCTCAAGATGGCCCAAGATGGCCCCAAGACGGCCCAAGACGGCCCCAAGACGGCCCAAGATATTCCCAACGGGGACCCATGAGGCCCCCAAGACGGCCCCAAGACGGCCTCACAAGCTCCAAGGACGGCCCAAGAGGGCCCCTAAGAGCGCTTACAACTGCGCCTCCAGAAGCCGAAATCATTATTTACCCACTGTTGTTGCAATATTTTAGCGTTCTCGCCTTTTTTGATTTACGAAAATCAATGACGGCCCAAGCAGCTTCCAGAATCGCCCCAGAGCAGCCCCAAAAAACACCCAAGAGGGCCCCAAGACGGCCCAGGAGGGCCCCCAAACGGCCCAAAGAGGCCCCCAAAACGGCCCGAGAGGCCGCGAACTCAGCCCAAGAGGACCCCAAGAGGGCTCCAATGCGGCCGCGAGAGGCCCCCAAGGCAGCCTTCCGAGGGGGCGAAACGGCGCAAAAACGCCCCAAGACGGCCGAAGACGCCCCCAAGAGGCCCCAAGAGACCCCGACAAAAACCTCCAAGAAGCCTCCCAGAAGCCTCCAAAAGGCCCCCCAAAAAAACCCTCCAAAGGCCACGCAGCGACTGGAGTGTAATGTTATTTTCCCCCCTCTGGGCGAACTGCGGCGCAGCGCCAGTCAGGTGGAAGTTGGTCACTGCGGCGCCCATGATTAGAGCCGGCGCTGGAAGGGAAGACAGGAGGGTGTATGAAAAGGAGGGAGGGGGGAAAGGCCCAAAAGAAGTCCCCAAGAGGCCAAAAGAAACTCCCAGGAAAGCCTCCAGGAGGCCCCCAAGAGGCTCCAAAGAGGCCCCGCGACGACGTGACTGTACGTGCTCCGGACGTGCACCCCACGAAGCGAGAGGAATCCAGAGTCACTTGTGTCACGGAAGTGACGTGCTAAGCGGCAGCGTTTTCCGCGGATGCTGGAATGCAGTGGATCCAATGTGTCCAATGTTTGCATAATTCCCACATAATGTATTGTGTTACATTATTATGTATCCCCCCATAACCTCCCCCCTGCAGTCGCGCCACGTGAACGGACCAAAGAGGCCCCCTCCTCCCGGGCCTCAAAAACCGACCCAAACCCACAGAAAATCCACGTCCGGAGGCGACGTGCTGAGCGGCAGCGTTTTCTGCGGAGGAGATAATGCAACGTACCCAATGTATCCAATGATTACATAATTGCCACAGATTGCATTATGTTACATTATTACGTCTCCCCTCCTAACCCCCCCTGGGAGCTGCGCCACAAGAACGGACCAAACTGCCCCCCCCCCCCCCCTCCCGGGGCTCAAAAACCTACCCAAACCTATAGAAAATCGATGATTTCGACTTCTTGGGCCTCTTGGAGGGCCAAGAAGGCACAAAGACTGCTCAAGATGGGCTTCCAAGACGGCCCCAAGACGGCCCCAAGAGGGCCCCAAGAGCGGCCAGAACTGCGCCAAGAGAAGCCAAAATCATTGATTTCCCTTTGGTTTGGTAATCATTTAGCGTTCTCGCCTTTGCGGCCCAAGCAGCTTCCCAAATCGCTCCAGAACAACCCAAGAAGCCCCCAAAAGGGCCCCAATACAGCCCAACAGGAGCCCAAGACGGCCCAAAGAGGCCCCTATGCCGGTCCAAGAGGCGCCTATGACGGCCCAAGAGGACCCCAAGACGGCCTCAAGGCGACCGCGAGAGGCCCCCAAGACGGCCTCCGAAGGGGCGAAACGGCGCAAAAGCGCCCCAATACGGCCAAATACGCCCCCAAGAGGCCCCAAGAGGCCCCCCAAGAGGCCCCCAACAAACCCCCAAGAAGCCTCCAAGATGTCCTCAAGAAGCCTCCCAAAGGCTCCAAAGAAACCCCCCAAAGGCCACCCAACGACTGGAGTGTAATGTCATTTTTCCAACCTGGGCGAACTGCGGCGCAGCGCCAGCCAGGTGGAAATTGTTCACAGCGGCGCCCATGATTAGAGCCGGCGCTGGAAGGAAATATGGAGAGGGAGTATGAAAAGGAGGGAGGGGGGAGAGGCCCCAAAGAAGTCCCCAAGAGGCCCAAGGAAGCTCCCAGGAGGCCTCCTGGAGGCCCCCAAGAGGCTCCCAAGAGGCTCCGCGACGACGTGACTGTACGTGCTCCGGACGTGCACCCCACGAAGCGAGAGGAATCCGGAGTCACTTGTGTCACGATGCTCGACGCGTGACTCTGCGATCTAGCCAAGAATGCAGATTTAGGCGGGCAGCCTACCGCAGTTAACCTACCATTCGGCCTACCGAAACCAAGTGTGGCAGCCCATCGATGAGAATCGTGGGATGACAAGGCAGAGGGGGAAAGCTAGATGTGGTCGGTAGAACGAATGTAGTATGAGCGATGAGGCGATGAGGCTGGGGTTCGGCCGACTCTCGTAACAGGTCAAGCTGGCGAGGGTCCAGGCCTCGAACTGCTCTGGTCGGAGATACGGTGCTACTCACGTTGTGCATCCCCGCTGCCGGGCCCATGTTTGCCTCAAAGGCCCAGAGCTGTAGTACTCTTGCGTTTGTATGGTCTACGCTGCTGTCGGGGATCTTCTGACCCGGGTCGATCCAGACCCGGGTCAGCAGGAAACCGAAAACTGCAATGCAGGAACAAAAAAACTGCAACGCAGGTCTTCGCAAACCCGGCTCGCTGACCCGGGTCAGCCAGAGGGGGTCTTCGCAGGATCTTGCAGGATCCGGCGCCCTGGCTGACCCCCGTTTGCACTGACCCCCGTCGCAAGGCTCCCGATGCTGCTCGGTTTGTCCACCTCCGCGGCCGGGGCTGCCTGGCAATAGATCTCCAGACGAGTTCCCCGGAGCTCTCCGCAGGACGTGGGAGGCCCACGGATGCCTCTGGCCCAACATGAGACAAGCTCTGAGCAAGAATACGGATCCATGATGGATTGACCCCTCCTCCTCAATCAATGCTGCATAGCGCTGCGAAGCAAGGCACACGCGAGCGTGCCATTCCCAGGGCTGCCACTCCTGAAATTCCGTGTGCTCCCTCCCGTGCCTGGACGACGCAAGTATGTTGTCTGCGCGACGTCGTCGTCGTGTTCGAACTCTGGGCGCGACACTGACGCCCATCTGACACAGGGTCCACCTCCCAATCCCTCGACGCTCAGAACGTCCACTGGTGAGCTCCACTTGACAAACTTCTCAGAGGGCCAGCAACGGACAAAATAATGATCTTACACACGCATCCGCTTGCGATGACCCACGAGACAAATGCAACGCATCTTGGCAGAGCCCTGAAAGGTGTTCATACATATCTGGTCGTGGGAGAGCGGCTGGCTATGAAGAAGAAATTTGAAATGCAGGACGCGGGATCTACATAGGTGATCCCGGAGGAAGAATTAAGGCATACTCGCCACGAGTTTCCAACGGGTAACGTCGCGAGACCACTGAACTGGATCGCACAAAAAAATAATGCAAAAACAATTCACAGATGAGATGCTAAATATTTGCGGCGAAGAACTGTTCCTGAAGACGCATACCTCCACAAAGCACGAGACACACCCAGAAGAATAGATCATAATGACAAAAACACAATTGCCCGCATTAGAACCATCTTGGGTTCTACATGTCTTGGGGCACATCGCGCGGATGGGTGGCTGTATCCGAATCCACTGGGTATCGCGATCGCGGATCATGAAGCCAGCCACCGCGATCGTGGCTGAAGGTGCGAAAGCAGACCCGGGCTACGGAAGGCGAGGGGCGCGCGGCCGATTGCAAATCCGCGAATGCTGTCGGCGTGTGGAAGACCGTATTCCGTTCGTCATCGTCGCCGTCGCCGTTCCCTTCTTTTCCCATGGGCTCTCTCAAGCGCGCCAGCCAAAGCGAAATGAAACAACAACATCATACCTTTCCCTCTGGTCCCTTCCCCGCCATGGGGGGGTCCCGGGGGGGCTTCTGGGGGGGACGGGCAACTCCCCCGTCAGAATGCCCCTCACCCGGGTGGTCCCAAAACCCGAAGAATTCAAATTAAGTACGAGCCACAGCTGCGGCGTGCGAAAGGTATCTGGGCTGGGGCGGCATGCAGGAAAGGCGTCCTTGCCATCCTGCGCCTCCTCCCCCAGCCTCCTTGCCATCATGCGCCTCCTCCTCCTGCCTCCTCCTCCTCTCCTCCTCCCTCCTCCTCCTCCTCCTCCTCCTCTCCTCTCCTCCTCCTCCTCCTCCTCCTACTGATATTCCTCCCCCTCCCACCGCTGCCCCTCCCCCCCCTCCTCCTCGTCCTCGTCGCCCTCGAGGCTCCATCCCAAGGTCGGCGGCACCAGCCGCATACCTACAAGGCCTTCGCAATCGGTACGCACGTGCAAATTATAAGCAGAACCGCCACCGCGTCGTAGAGTGTCCCCAGGCACCTCTCGACCTGTCAGTCGTGAATCTGGTCATGCTCTTTTGTATGGGGCCCGGCGTGATCTGCCGAGGCGGGCGACGTGAGCGACGTGATTCCCCCCATCGGGAGCGGCCAAGAGGGGGGTGTCCAAGGGGGGGGTGCAGATCATGACCGGCGGCATGTGCGCGGCCCAGCGGGGGGGCCAGGGACGTAATGAAATAAGAAGAGGCGCCATGAAATCAGGGGGAACATCATGGCCCCCGCCATGATATCCCCCCCCCCCAGTGATCACCCCCCTCTTTTCCGCCCCCGACCCCAGAGGCCCGAGGACGCCAACACGGACGGCCAGGGATGGCCCCGGGCAGCTCAGCTCGACGGTCCCTCCGATCGGCCGGAGAGCGCCCCCTGACGCCCTCCAGCAGGCCCAAGAAGCGGCTCATGCGCCCCAGGAGAGCTCCACGAGGACCCCCAAGAGCCCCCCTCGCTGCCACAATCTTTGGCTCCCCCGAGGCGTTTGAAATGTGTTGGCCCGCCCGCGCTCTCCAGCTCCGGGGTCCCCCAGAGGCCCGAGGACGCCAAGACGGCCACGGATGGCCCCAAGCAGCTCCCACGACGGTCCCTCCAGTCGGCCGGAGAGCGCCCCTGGCGCCCTCCAGCAGGCCCAGGAGGCAGCCGATGCGCCCCGGGAGGGCTCCACGAGGACCCCCAAAGGGGCCCCCTCGCTGCCACGATCTTTGATTCCCCTGAGGCGTTTGAAATATTTACCAGCCTGGAACATATCCCTATCCCTATGCTGGGCACCTCCTCATCACGATGCCAATCTTAGGGATTCTCTTGTTTTTTTGAGGGCGAATCCCTAAGATTGTCATCGCCTTTCGGCGTGTCAATCTGAGGGATAGGGATACGTTCGAGGCTGGTAAAATATGTTGGCCCGCCCGCGCTTTCCAGCTCCGGGGCCCCCCAAGACAGCCCAACAGGCCACGACACAGCTGGCGCCAGCAAGGCTGCCCGTTGTCGGGGCGTGGCGCAGGGCAGCGGGAGCGCCTCGGCCGCCCTCGCGCGCGGCAGGATCGCGGCAAGCAGGGTTGCGCGTGCGCGCTCGTGCGTTTGCAGTGCCGCGAGGAGGCGGGTCCACAACGCGAGCCCCTTCGCAAGAAGGCCTCGGGGCGGCGCGCTCGAAGCTGGAGGGACCAGTCGCGAAGAAAGCATGGGCACCTTTGCCCCAGCCGGGGCTGTTGTGAACCCTCGCGGCAGCTGTGCGCGCACCGTGTCTGAGACGGGATTGGCATGCTAACTCAGCCGCAAGTGCGGCGTGGCTTGACAGTAGAATGGGTCGTGCAACGAATGTCAAAGCCAACCGCTGCTGGGAATAAGAGGAAGTCCAATATCTCCGATTGGGCGCATCGTGCTTTTCACCTTCCCACAGCGACGAACGACGATGTGACGAGGAGCACCAGGACCGCAAACAGCAAAAGAGCGCCCCCCATTGAGCGGAACGGCAGCGAAGGACCAGCTCACGAGGAGTACTATAGACAATGGCTCGGCGGTGCACTGCCGACTGATCCACGATGAGCCCCCGATAGCGAAATCGCGCGTTCCTGTGCAAGCCCATATCTGCGATGAGTGGGCGATGCCCCTGAGCTTAAGTCGGGCGTGTCCCTCTACAGGAGGAATACTCAAAGATAGTCAAACATAATATCGGGACGTTGTTGGTTGGTTGTTCTTTTCAAAAAGAGGTTATATACAAAAACAGGTGTTTGAACAATTTTGAATATGATTGACTATTTCCATTAAAAAACATATATACATATATATATATAACAATGGTTTGAACACTTGTTTTTAATATGATTTACTATTTCAAATATTTCCGTCAAAATTCCCCTGTAGGAAGGAAGACATGCCGCCCCTCCAACGGATCCTCGTCGCCTGGCTTCTGGGCCAGCCACGCCTCGGGTCTCCCCCGGCCGTGCGGGGCGCTCTGCACGCCCCTGGACGCCCCCCCCGCGAGGCGCAGCTGCCGAAACCTCCAGGCAAACCTCCAGGAAACGGCGAAACGTGCAGGGACACCTCCAGGAAAACCTCCACGAAACCTCTAGGAAAACCTCCCGACGCAGGAAAGCCTCCAGGAAATCTCCAGGAACACCTCCAGGAAAACCTTCACGAAACCTCCAGGAAAACCTCCCGGCGCAGGAAAGCCGCCAGGAGACGGCGAACCGTGCACAAGCAGGTGCCCTCCTTACGAGCCCAGACCCCCGACGTCAGGAGTTCTGCCACAGCGTTCGAGGGCCAGCTCTGTTCATCCTGAGCACCTGGAGACCGAAAACGGCCCCCCAACCCTCCGTCGCATTCTGCTACCACGCGGATACTGCCCCGCCGACACCCCGCACTCTGCCACTGCCCCCCTTCCCCTCGCCTCCCCCTTGCCCCGCCGAAGGCTGCACCTACTCCACCCCTCCCCCTGCCGCCGAGCGCAGGCGACGCCGCAGGCCGCACGCGCGCCAGCGCGCAGGCGGCTCCGGCGTGCCTGAGGCGCCGTCCGCGCCAGCCTGCGGCGCGGCACGCGACGGCCCGCATGCCCGCGGGCGGGGGCGCCGCCGCCAGGCCATGCACTGTAGAGGCGGGGGGACGCCAGCCATGCACCAGGCCAAAATCCCCGAAGCAGCCATGCGGAGCCTCCCGCCGGAGCCTTCGGCGGAGGTCCCTATCTGGCCGCGAAGCGTATGAGGGGGGTGCCGAAACTGGCGCGGGACACATTCAGGATGGGAAAAAACACACAGACACAATTAATCGGCGATCCTCAGAAAATATAGGAAAATATAAGAAAAAGGGGGGGGGAAGACAGAAACCCAGAAAATTTGCAAATTATGGGGAATCGTTTTATTTGTATGTATTTATTTGTGTGTCCTGGGGCCCCTTCACACATGGAAACCCGCTGGGGCCTTCGGTGGAACCCCCCTATGGGGCCACGAACCGTGTGACGTGTGAGGGGTGTGCCGTAAGGGGCGCGGGACTCTGGGACGCATGTGGACGCAGCCACTGGGCCTTCGGTGGAGCTCCCTATGGGGCCACGAGCCGGGTGAGGGAAGTGCCGAAATGGTGCACGTGCGGAGAGCAGAGGCACGATGCCCACGATGGCGATGCCGATGATGTGGATAATGGCGATGGCGATGGTGATACGATGGGGATGATGACAATGACGATGGATGAGGACTTCCGGAGGGCAGAGGCAGGGGTGGGAGGAGGGGAGGGCAGCGGAAGGATGAGAGGAGTAAGGAGTGGGAGACGGAGAGGAAGGACGGAAGGAACGCGGGGCACTCTCTTCAAAACGAAGACCCAACACCACAGGATGGTTGGGGGAAGAACGGCCAACAGAGAGACATGGTCACTACAACTCGAACCCCTCTTATCTGAAGCCCGATCAGGCAACAGTGAGGCTCATTGTTAAGTCCAGGAGTAACCCCGACCGCATTGGATTTCACGAGACTATGCCCGATTAGATCGTTTCTCGACCATAGAATTGCCAGCACCCCCTAGCCTACAAGACGGGGTGTCTATTTTCGCTTTCGTTTTCCGTGATACTGTTGCACAGTGTCTATTTCTAGTCGTGTCTATAAATTCGCGCTGCGCGCAATGTAAAGCATATGGTTTTGTATAGGAAAAATAGACACGAATAGACACTTCTCTGAAATAGACACGAATTCATTGAACATAGACACGAAAATGAATCAAACATAGACACGAACGTCGTACATAGACACGATAATAGTCACGGGTCATAAATAGACACGAATAGACATACTTAGACACGAATAGTCACGCGACGAATATACGCGCAAAAGGAACCCGAAACACATAGACACGGTGTGGCAAACATAGACACGGCATACGGGGGGGAGTCGGGACGGGAGAATGTGGAATAACGTGGAGGATGGGATTGGAATTCAGCGGAGTTGAAAGGAGTGCAGAAACAATGAGCATGATAAACGGGCGAATTGGGGGGAGCTGAGGAGAATCACACATTGAAACGCTTTGGAATCACACGAGAGATCTAGGGGGAGCGCGGAGACTGCGGAATCGTTGGGGGAAAAACGCGGAGAAGATGAGGGGAGTGTGGAGGAGGAGCCGTGAACAGGAATGGGAGGGGGCGCGCGGCGTGCACTGGGGTGTTGATGAACCATGGGGTGGTAGAGCGAGCGCGGAAGAAAGCGGAAAAATGAGGCGGAGTGCGGGGGATCGCGGAAGAGCGGAGAGAGTGAGGATGAGCGAGGATTCGGAGGAACGCAGATGAGTTGGGAGGAGTGCGAATACGTGGGGAAGGATGTGAGGAGCCAGGAGGGGGGTGGTGGGAGGATTGTGGAGGAGGTGCGGAAGGCGTGGATTGGGAGCGGAGGAACGGTGAGGAATAGGAGGGCTCAGGATTGAGAGGTGGCCCAAACGGTGGACCCGAACGGACATTTCGAGCCCTCGCCCCCGAGAGGCCCCCAAGAGGCTCCAATGCGCCCCCCAAGAGGCCCCCAAGGCGCCCCAAGAGGCCCCTTGGAGGAGAAGGGGGCCTCTTGGGGCGTCTTGGGGGCCTCTTGGGGCGTCTTGGGGGCCTCTTGGGGGCCTCTTGGACGCCCCCGTGAATGAGAGGCAGGAGAAGGGGGCCTCTTGGAAGCCGCTTGGGGTTTCCTGGAAGCTCCGTTTGGGCCGCCCCTTGGAGCCGTCTTGGGGCCCTCTTGGGCTGTTTGGCGGCCCTCTTGGAGGCTTCTTGGGCCGTCTTGGGGCGATCTTTGGGGCCTCGTGGGCCGTCTTGGAGCGTAAGCCGAAGAAGCGAGAACGCTCAAATCCTTCAAAACTTACGTGAAATAACTGGGTTTGGAGTGCTGCCGCAGGCCCTGGGGCGTCTTGGAGGCCGCTTTGGGCCGTCTGGATGCCATCTTGGGCGTCTTGGACCGATCGTTCGGCGACTCGGGGCCCTCTTGGACCGTCTTCGGAAATTCGAAATTGGGCGCCACCACATCTTGTTGAACAAACAGTACTCTGGGGAAAAATAGACACGCACTTTGAAACATAGACACGGAAGTAATAGACGCGAACACGTCGAAATCATGGAACATAGACACGAATAGACACGTTCAAATTAGACACGTTAGACACGAATAGACACCAATGTATATAGACACGGATAGACACGACATAGACAGGATAATTAAAGCCACGTTTGGGCCGGAGCTGAATTTCTATAAAAATAGACACGACAACGATACCGAGTCTATTTTTTTAGAAACGCGCAAACCGTGTGAAACATTCCACAACGGCGAGTCTAATTCATATTTTTCTGGTGGTCTGCAGGCTAGGGCCGATACGGAACTTGGCCTCCCGGGAGCTGCGCCCCCGAGCTCCTCGCACCGCGAAGCACGCGCGCGACGGAAAGAGGTCATCCATATCTTCGACCTCCGGGGACCCTCGCCGGGCCCGGGGCAGTGCCAAAAACGATTGGTCCTGGGACAGGAGGAGGAGGAGGAGGCGGAGGAGGAGGAGTAGAATTGGGATGAATGATTGGTCCTCGTTGGGATGAATGAGTGGTCCTGGGACAGGTGTTCAGACCGCTGGGAAACCGCGCCGCGTCGCCAACCTGCCACGTCGGAGGTCTGGGTCAGTCTGGAGGACGCCCGAGGGGGCACGCGTCGATGCCGAACGACCCCATGCCAGGACGGGCCAGGATCGATCAGCGTCGGATCAGGAAACGAGGCCGGATCGGAGAGTGCGTCGGATCGGGCCGCTTCGGCAGAGTCGCGAACGGATCGGATCGGCTGCTCCAGGCTGCACAAGAAGGGCATGCGAACATCAGGCCGTACAGTCGGGACGTTGACCTAGGGAACCCTAAATAAGGAACGAGGCCCCTTCTTCCCACACATTGAATTCCGATCTCCCATCGCAAACCTGAGGACAACCTAAGGCAAACTGTGAAACAATCAGGGAACACGGAGCCCCTCCCCAACGAAAAGGTGCTTCTTCAGCGCCCTGACTGTATCAGGTCGTCAGGATGTGGGTCGGGCGCTGGCAGAACTGGGTTTAGTGGGACCTGGTTTAATGATGTGTACTGGGGGACGCCCCCCCACCCAGTTCCACTGACCGGAACTGCCGTCACCTGAAAAAACACTAGCTACGGCAGACCTGATTTAGTGACTCTGGTCAATTTAGGGGCTCCGGGGCCCTACTACAAACCAGGTCCCCTTAACTGGGGAGGTAAGTCTCTTCCCGGGGTGGCCCGTACTCCAGACAAAGAGGGGAGGCATGAAACGTGATTGACACGACCTACAGGCCACAGGTAGCCTTGATTCTGCAAGGTCGACACGCTAAACCAAGCCCGACTGCATACCCCCTGCCCACCGAACCAGGATGGTGGAGGCACATACCCTGGACCCAGGATGGCCCTGGCCAAGATCAGTGTTGGCCAAGATCAGTGTTGGGGTATAGTTGGCGTCCCCCGAACAACGGTTGCGCGTCCGAGCTTGAGGCTTCTAAAACCCACGGCGAACAAGAAAGTACTGCAAAGCACGCAACGTCATCATCATGACCATCACCATCGGCACCGCTATCTTCTATCCGATCAGTGTAATGCGGGATGATGCTCACACTCGGCTGAGGCAGAGTGCCCACGGGAACGGTACGTCTCCCATCACCCATCCCTCGATGAAAGGCATGCGCGATTTGCGGACAGCTTCGGGCCCCCGTCCTCACAGTCCCCTCTCGGATCGCACTGCCACGAGCGTGGGCCGATCCACACATGCATGCAGGAATCCGTCCATCGCCAGCTCAGTGCGCCTGCCTGCGTTCGAAGACGCGACAGTCTGCCGCTCGCTCGAAACCATCCTACGCGGCGGCACTCCTCGAAGTCTTGGATAAGGCGCTCGAAGGCTCTCACGCTTACCAAAGCACATTCGCCATTCAAAGGACCGCGTGGCTCATGTCCACTGCAGCGATGCATGATTTATCAGGAGCTGGAGGGTGGAAGGAGGAGGAGGAGGCGAAGCACGGCCCCCTCAGAGCGGGGAAGAATGATGCTCTTGCCATTCGAGGAAATCGTGCCCCGCCTCCTCCTCCTCCTCCGATGATCCATCATCCTCGGAGGCAACATCCTCCTCCTCCTCCTCCTCCACATTACGATACTCACATCACCTACGACCTCGCTATCCAGCCTCCTCTGCATCCTCCTCCTCCGGATTTTCCTCGATATCCTCCGCCTCCCCCTCCCCTCCCCGTCTTTCACACCGAGTCCCCCCCTCCTCGACCTTCTCCTCGACCTTCCTCCTCGCCTTCCTCCTTACCTTTGACCTCCTCCTCCTCCTCCACCACCTCCTCCTCTTCCTCCTCCTCTTCGCTGGTCCTATTCAACTCCCATGGCCGGCGCAGAAGCGCCCTCCCGGCGCTTCCTGGCGCCGACGACGCATCGAAGACCCCTCCCGCCGGCGGGGCCGAATCCTGCTGCATGCACGTCCGGCCTCTCCGTCCGACTCAGCCTCCGCCGGGTCGGACGAAGAGGCCCTTCATGCTGCCCCCGCCCCCCGGGCCGAGGCCCTCTGCAATGCGCTTGGCCGCCCAGCCTGATCTCCCTGGCTCGCGCCGCCGAC